TGGATCGTAGCCTCACCTGGAAAAAGCATATTTTTACTAAAAGAAAAGCACTGGGAATCCAACTGAGGAAAATGTATTGGATGCTCAGCGGCAAATCGCAGCTGTCACTCGAAAACAAACTACTGTTATATAAGACTATCCTAAAACCGATCTAGACCTACGGAATCCAACTCTGGGGCACTGTCTCAAATTCTAATATAGAAATACTCCAGAGGTTCCAGTCCAAAATGCTGAGGATAATTACTAATGCTCCTTGGTTTATAACTAACCAACAATTACACCATGACCTTAAAATCAGAACGGTTCAAGAAGAGATAAAACAGTCAATGATATCCTACAGAAAAAGGCTCAACAACCATGCAAACATTCTACCAATGCACTTAATGAATATGAACACAACATTCAAAAGGCTAAAACGAAAAGCCCCTAGAGACCTGTAAGGGATGAATTCTAAAGGGCCCACGTCGCTGGACTGGTGACCCTACAAGACAAATTAAATTAAACTCTTCACCAAGTGCTGAATGTTCGTTAGAAACAGATTGCAGAACAATATATATATTAAAAAAAAAAATTTACAACATAAATTATTGTTCTTAACTATTTACTTTCAATTAAATCAAGTAAAGTGTATTTAGCCTATCAAGAGACTATATATAAGTCTTGTTCTTTCTAGTTATACTACTAAATTAAATAACTTCAAGTATTTAAATGTAGTTTTCGATTTGCTATTAACCCGTTGAAATCCACCCCCTAAATTTGGTCATACAAAAGTAGTCTCTAAACATTACAAATAAGGTCTATAATGTAATGTAATTTTAGTGGAAAGCGGTCACCGGTGACCGCTTGGTGATTTATGGGTTAATGCTATTTTGACTTGACATACTTTAGACTTAACTGCACGGTTGGGGTGGTGGCTGGGTATCTGGCTACCGTGCAGTGCAACGTGCCGTGGGTTTGATTCCCGCACGGAACAACTGTTTGTGTGACCCACAAATTGTTTCGGGTCTGGGTGTCATGTATATGTGAACTAACTTGTATGTTTGTAAAATCCCACAATAAAGGGGAAAAACCTTAAGTGGGGCAACATTTTTTTTTTTTAAAAAAATATTAAAAGGTATCCTTAGTCTGATGCACAATAAAATTAATGATGGCACACAGTTATTCTAATAAAATCACAAGGCTTCACATCTTTAACTAGAAATAGAGATCTAACTAACTAAACAAAGAACACAATATCCAACTCACTCTATATTTTGCAACAAAAGCTTCGATATTCGGGAACTCATCAGCCTGCACTTGTTTGAAGGCCACTCTATACTGGACCAGCAGCCTGCTACAGGCCGCAGTGTACTCCTGCGCTCGGACACAGTCCCTCATGTATGCCTTCTCCAAATGCTGCAGTGTGCTGACCACAGCATATAACTCCGCCATGTTGTCATGCCTGGAAATGGGAAAATAGTATGGTATAGATATCTATAACAGATCTTGTATTATGAAAGTCATTTAAACTGTCAAACACCAAGCGGTCACCGGTGACCGCAACCTATTGTTCTATAATGACGGTACTTGACGAGATAATTGAGCAGGCATTATTATCAGTCATAAGATGTCCGTCATTTCAAAAGTGCCATCCTGGTCTATTTGAAATAAATGATTTTGAATTTTTGACTTTTCAATGTTGAATACAGGCCTAATGATGTTGGATGGAAGTGACTTGCAAGCTATATAGTGCTTATTTAGCTGATGCAATTATTCAGATTCTTATTTTAAAAACGAAAATAAGTACCTATTATACTTTTGTTAATTTTCTATTGCCATTTGAGAGTTTTCTAAGTCCACAATGCCTTATATACCTCTCTAATCTAATTACTCGAATTGATTTCAACAATTTTGATTCTTTTAATTTTTTTACAACAAAGCGAATAATACTCACTTTTCACGTTCCCTGGCATTTCTATAAAGCTTTACTTCTTCATATAACTCTGGTCTTGTATCTGTAAAATAAAAAGTATGAGTAATAACTTCATAAAAACCAGGAAAAACGAAAACAAAGACACAGATATTGAGATTATAGTATTTCAGAAAGCAATTTACTTACCTTGCATTTTGATGTATTTATTAGCAACGATAAGTTCACTTAAATCGTAATATTGTTAAGGCAAAGTGAAGGTTTAATAAATTATTGTCGAATTTTATTTTCTAATAAACACAAATGATGACAAATAGGTAGATCTCCAATCTTATCAATTTTGACATTATTTCATCAATGTTACTAGCCTGCAAACTTGAATTAACACAAAGTACCTAATAACAATAATCCTCTATGCCGGTTTCGGCTACGGCTACCGTTTCATGACTACACTGGCGTCTATCATAATATTATCTATACACTTACGAGCACGAACAAGAGGCTGACTGTTGATCATAATGAACAAGTAGTGATGATGATTCGCTAGCACAGGTGCAAGTTAGATAATGTTATTCCATTTATAGCATGCGTATCCATATTTTGTAGTTGTTTTTTTTTAACATACATTACATGTTTCGCGCGAAATGTTGTATTGTTGCGGTAAATCTGGGATTTTAAATATTTTTTTAGGAATGTCTTGGCAGTTGCTTGAAAAATAATACTTAATATTATTTTTATGTTTATTTTCCTTGTTTCTGGGCTTTAGTTTAGATTTGGTAACACTGTATTTGAATGAACTAAACCTAATGACTGAATGATACTTTGAACTAAATGAACGGTTTGTTCGGATACACTTACAAGAGCAGATACAAATGTTGAAGTAATCCGTTACTTGGTTGAAAAACTAGTTTTCGAAGCTTACTCATACTGAAAAAAAGTAACGACAAAATGACGTAATCCTCCAATATGGCGGATGACGCGCGCGCTCCCTGCCGCCCGCGCTCGTAGTTTCTTCACCAACTGCCACTCGTCTCGAATGATTTCACCTTGCGATGAATGAAAATTGTTGTAGACAGCCCGAGTGCGTATTATTCACATAATAAACTCATCACCGCACCGGACATATAAGGTGTATTGTGATACAGTGCGTCTAAAGGTGGATTCGTGGTTGTGTTTTTACCAGTTCTCCCTTTTGTGAGACCGTTGTGTTTACGTGCCGAAAAATCATCGAGTGCAAAATCTACAGGTCTCTGGAGTCGCCGGTGCAGTGTTTAATGGGATCTTGTTGATCAACAGGTAATTTTTATGAAATTCTCATTGAAAATAAGTTATCTGTAATACCGTATTCTGTCGGCTTATGAACAGACGGAGGTTGTAACGGCTTGTTTTTGCGTTTCCTGTAGCTTTGACGATGTAGCGAAGTTGTTCAGACATTGAGAAGGGAGTAAAAAAGACGTCTTATAAGTTAATGTTGTTTTTATAAAATGTTTGTGTGGAAAAAAAGTTGCTTTTCTTATTGGAATGTGTTTGCGGTGAGCGGGCGGGGTACCTGGGCGCGGTGCCGGTTGTCCCACTTTTGGCCACTAGGCAGGTCGAGAGACGTACACTGTTTACAACTTTGACACGTTTCTACTTCGCTGCACTTTTATGGACAGTTAAAAGCCGTTTTAGACTCTTGGGTAATGTTCAGGAAGGCTACATATGTGTTAGAAGTACTTGCTGACTCGTAAAAGCCGATAATAGAGTATTAAATAATTTAGCTAATATTTTAGAGGCTAAAATAATGTACGCCATATACTCTACACATACTTGCAAAACCTAATTGGTTCTATAGTATCATGCTTATATAGAATCTAATATGATTGTAGCTAATTCGTTAATAAGTCCATTAGCAGAAATAGTGCTAATCACTCTAATTGGTGAGGAAACATTAGTGTTATTAGCCGGACATTCCTATCCAATATCTACTACCAAGTAGGGAAATTGTAACAATTTTGTGGTCCATATCATGACCGAGTTTCACAGATAAAGCTAAAAAAGATTTTTTTTTAAATAGTAATTTATTCATGTTCTCTTTGATAATATATTGTCTTCATCTTTCTTATTTCATATTTTAAAGAATGAAATAAAATAACTATTAAAAAGAAATTAAATCAGATCATAATAGTGTGAGTGAATAAGAGTTTAATAGCCTTATGATTTAAATAACACTTATAAGATAGCAAGGTAGATATTCTTTATTGTTTTTCAATTAGAACAGTAATTATAACTCAATCTGTAACATGAGACATGGGAGTCAGGCATCAATGTATCGTGAAATAGTCATTTTAATATATAATTATATATACCTATATATTAAAACTACTATTACTATTTCATTACTAAAATTACTATTTCACGATAAAGTACTAATTATTTATAATTTATAATGACACATTATTTGGAAGCTATGAGGATAATTAAACTATAGTACCTAATATACTGCTAAACCAATTTTTAATAAATTGTGCTTATCGAGAGGAAAAATCATGTAAATCATTGGTAACTCAGTAAAACATGTAATGTGTTATTATTATCC